AGTCTTAGTGTCTGCAATTATGTGCGGCCATATAATCTATTGTAGCTCTACTGGAAATAATTTACAATAATAAATGCAATTTCTGCGTCTCTTATGTCACTACAATCATGCAAACTTTAAATTATTGAATTGAAAAAATTGAATATTAAAATTTTTATATTATTATAAAAAAAACTATAGCTCTTTTATCTTATCAATTCGTAAAGTATTTAATCTTAAACTGTCCAGTGTTTTACAAAATTCGTTGTCCTCTATAGGGTATATTTTTAAGAACCATTAAAGGTATATATTTATATTTCATATAGTGATTAGTGTCATTCCTTAGTTTATAATGTATTTCTCCTGACATGTGTTCGGAACAAGAAATATCACTGAAAAATCTGAAAAGTTGCTTCATCTAAAAGGCTTTATATTATTTATAATTACAATATCTTTTGAATACTGCGTACTTTTAAGTACAGAAAAATAAATATTTCATCCATAGTGGCAAGTTTATCCTAGTTTCATTACGATGAAGAATATTGATAATTTTAGATGTGTTTAGTGCAATAAAAGATATGGATTAAATTTAATGGCATAAAAATATGGTGGTCCGTTGAGAAAATGTATATTGGAATTTTAACTTTAAACCTGTAAACTTGAAAAAAAATTGTGTCGAGATACAGAGTTAGTTGAAATTAGTTTGAACTTGCTCCGAAACTTGCAAAATTGTGAAAATATTCAAATTCATTAAATTTCTTAGTGATAAGTAGAGATATCCATGTTAGAAAGCTTTAATGTTATGGTGATATAAGTTTTATCTTTTACGTGCTATCTTGATTTCAATTGATGAAACAAGAAACTTAAAATTAAAAACATCTTCCTCCAAAATTTGAAATCGATGTTAGATATTTCTGAAGTCTTCAGAAAGAAACGCAAAATGAGAAAAAAAATTAGTTGATCTTGACGGATTTCTGCAATTTTCGACAGGCTCAGATAAAAGGAACCATTTTTCAACCCCCTACTCACTACGGCCGAGGACAGAACAAATAACAGATAGGAAAATTTACTTTTTCGCTTTTACTTTGATCTATACGTTAGCCGAAGTCGTCCTACGCACATTTCCGGAGATTTGGAGTCTTGAAAAGATTTTCTTTGTCGCAGCAAAAATGCGCCAAGTCTCGCCTGAGCATCAAAATATAACCAAAATTGGAGATTGAAATTCGTTCTTGCGGGTTTATTACTACCTATATAATATTCAAACCAAAATTATTTATCATTGATTGGGTTCACAATAAAAATAATCTGCCTGCCTGACATGTCTGATATTTTTCATATTTCCAATCAGGTGGGCCCGCCTTTGCTCTAGGCTTTAAATTGACTGAGACATCTGAACTTGTAAATGTTTTAGAACTTTTATTTAGCGTTCCTTTTTTTATGAAATGCTCAAAATGTTCTACCCAATGACGTTATCCTTTTTACTTGTAACTTTTACTTTAACTAGAACAACTAGATCTCTAGAATTCTAGGAATATTGAAAATTTTAGGACATTTACTTATAATGATTATTTAATACATTAATTAATTAATATCTAACTTTAGTCCTACCAATGATATATAGAGCTATTTAAAAGAGAATGGGTCGTCAGGCGTAAAGTTTACGATAAGGTAAAGATAGTTTTCAGGAGAGGATGCGAAACAAATTAAATATTACTTATATCGTATTCAATTTTAGATCATGTCTAATAAATTATGTTGCTGGTCAATTCAATACAATTCAATTCAATGATCTAACCCTACAGAAATTGACAAATTAAAAAATCGTTTTGAGGACTTGAAATTCTCCAAAATTAATTTTGCATGGAACATGACACTACGCTTGCTGGTCCATCGTAAAAGAAGGTATTGTTATGTATACTGCCCTATTGTTGCAACCATCCGATTTTTCAAAGCTCCAGTTTCTCAACAATCTGCTTTTCTAAGAAGATAATTTCATGTCAGAGACCGTTGCAAATATGCTCGATAATCTTACCTCATTACACACCATAAGCTGTGCTTCTATGATTGGCAAGGTGCCTAATTTATCTTGAATTGAAGATATGTAGAATATAATGGATACCATCGTGAGTGTTTCAATAATATTATGTGTAAATTAACATTAAAGAACAGGTCTAACTTGGGTGTGTGTTTGTGTGTGTCAAAAAATTCTTTAAAAAATCTAATACATACATACTGTGAAATTTTAAGCAGTTCTGATGTGACGTAGTCAACATTGTTTTCTTCAGATATCCTTCACGATTTTCGTAATCTTTCTTCTTTCCTAGCCATAATCACCTAAGCTATCTTCCTCCTAGATTTTCAGTTGTCATTAATCTAGCAAAGCTTTATACCAACTTCCGCACCTGGTGGCTATCAATTAATGAATATTACATTCCATCAGAAAAGTTTAAGAAGCTTGATTAGAAGTTCATTTAATAATTTATAACCCGGTTTGTTGGTTTAGTCTAGGAGAAAAACTCCCCTAATTTAATAGTTGTTTAAAAGTTGCCAATTGATCAAACAGACGTGTTTTTGTGGATTCGGTTACTTTCGCACTTTTCAGAAATCGGTACGTTTTAAATATGGGTACTTTTGTGGAAACATCACATTAGTTTCCGATTTCGAAGTTACACGGCACGTAAAAATCTTCAATTCAGTTAAAGTCAACCTCGGTTTATTCCAAGGATTTTCGCTATTTTTATGATGTTCGAGGCGTTAAGGTCCATAAATACTTCGCAGCAAAATGGAGCAATGATACCATTCTCATGTTTGTCAATCCTGGTTCTGCGGCAAAACATTAGGACGAAGTCGCGTCGGCGTCGGTTAGAATAAAGCGGAGGCAAACAGAAGTTCAGAAAGTTACGCCTTGTCGCGTTGCTTTTCGTTGCCTTTTTGTGACGAACTAATTTGATACAAGCGTTTGTTTTTGTTGTTAGCAGTTTGTTAGGTGTGATTTTTGCTTTTGTAGCATAATGGAACCAATTTTTTCTAGCGATATTGGTCCGATCTATTTTCTTCACTTCGCAGCTCCATTAAAAAATAGTGGGACGTGTATGGTGGCTTCTTGTGAAAGCGCTGAAAATAATAGGTTTAAGTTTAATAAGGCAAATTTTTGGGGAATCAGTCAAAATTTTTAACTTGAATTAGAATTTTTAAAAATTAAGTTAGAATTTCTGAAAAATAGGTCAAAATTTCTGAAAAAAACAAGTAAGAATTTCTAGAAAACAAATCAAACTTTCTGGCATAAGTTTATCGTAACAGACAGTGTCAATTGAAACATCAGATATACAGGGCGAATCATAAAGGTTGAGTGATCTCTAAAATGGGCGTCAAATTATTATGATTGTGCTCGACACATCTCATACAAATGTTTCGGAAATACAAGGCGTTGAAAGATTAAAACTTTCTCATTATTTAAGAAAGTTTTTATAATATAATAATAAAAATTGGCAGGGGAGCAATAAAAAACCAAAATTTAACATTAACCTTTTAGGAAATAGTAATAAAAAAAATTATAATTAAGTTTTGGAATTGCATACTCTGGTGTCTAGTATAGAGATTGCCTATTTTTTACGAATCACCCTGTATATCTGATGTTTCCACGTTACGAGATGTAACGAAAAATTTCAGTTTAAAGATTCTAACATGTTTTTCGGGAGTTCTGACTTATTTTACAGAAATTTTTAGTAATGTCTCAAAAATTCAGACTAAACTGATAAATTTTGCCTTATTTTTCAGAAATTCTGACTTACTGTTTAGAAAATCCGACTTAAGTTAGAAATTTTGACTTATTCCTTAAATTATTAAAATGAAATCTATGTTTTATTTTTGGTGACTTTTCAGCGCTTTCCTAGTTTTTATAGTGTTTCAGTTTATGGAATTTTAGGGTACAGGGACAGGTCTAATATTTAATTGTTTAAATTAGCATAGAAAATCGTCAGTTAACTGAGGTGAAGCTATATAAAAGCGAAGACAGGTCAAAAGATAGTTGAATACACTTTATTAAAGACTCTGAATCAAAGCAAAAGCGAATATGAAATACTTAACGAATCAGTCAGTCTCTTATATGAGTAACAATAAGAACTTAAAATTTGTAGGTTTTATTACTTGGTGAATGTCAGTCAACAACGGATTTTTCTCTATTAATTCTTGAGACATACCAACGACGTCCCTAATTGGAAAATATAGTAGTATTACGAATGATAGTTCTATTTTGGCTCAACAAACTGGAAATTTACGACCATAAAATGATTTTCTGTTTTATTAGAAATATTATTGTTCTATGGTGGTGATTTTAATATCACTCCAAACACCAAGAGAGAAATGAGCGGTTGCAGTCATTAAAACTAAAATTTAAATAATTGTATCCATTACGTTTTTGTGAAACTATATTTGAAAAAATGGTTGTAAATTATCTGATACGAGCCATTTACTCTTGATGGAATAATTTTCATAAAACCGCCTTTTTCCAGCTTTCTTTATTTGAGTGTTATCACACATCCAATAAAAGTAACGGTTCCCAACATGAAAATCCGGAATTTATTTTTTGGCGTTGTTCCTGCGGAAAACGTAAAAATTTCACAAGGCGTTGTGACTTTATCAGTAATATGGGACTATTTTGTTGTATTCGAATGCAGGAAAAGAAATGAAATAAGGTTTGGGAAATATATTAGGATAATATGTCTATTTCTCTTTCTTTTTTACGCCATAACGGTTTCAATAGAACGGGCAAATCTTTGTAGCGTTTGTTGATGGTATTTTTGGATATTTTTTATGTTTCCATTTGGTATATTAGGCACATACATATATAGTACACAACGCAGTATTTAGAAACTCGCCCAACTTTGTATAGCGTGTCCACAGGCAATTAGTACAAAAAATAACACAATGGAACATGGAAAATCAAGTTTTAATTCCCGGTTTTAATGCATGTCGGGGTCCGGATATAATTAAATGGATGTTGTCAACGGCAAGTTGCTACGTCGAACACCGCAGTAGATATAGCGTGGAGCAACAAAGATGGGCCGCAGGTTTACGTACGCCTGAACCGAGTAGTATTTATAAAACGATTTTTTCTACTTTCTGCACTGAAATACCCAGTTATGCATGAATTCGGCGTGCGCAAAGTATCACTTTAAAACGTGAGTGTTTTGTAAAAATATATGAGGATAAAATATACGAAAATGTCGTTCATAAAACTCCTTCGATGTTTGATATACATCTATTATAAAAATACTTTCATTATACGGGGTAGTGCCAAAAATTCGCAGCACGTCACTTTCTTTTCTTAAATGGGAACAATCGGGTCTTCAAGTTAAAAACTATTTCAATTTTTTTTGTGATAATTAAGTACGTCCATAAATAACATAATAGTAATATAAATTGATTTTTATATAGGTATGGCTTGAATCTTATAAAACCCACTTTTTTTGCAAATAAAATGTTAGCTAAAGGGTTGCTGTTTCAGGAAATCAACTACGATTCGCCTAGAGGTGGCGTTTCCGTTATCACCGAAAAAGGTGACGTCACAGTATCTTACTTGCTAATTCAACGTGCAAATGAAAAGGATTCAGGGCGGTACACGTGCCACCCATCCAATGCCAATCCCAAGGCTCTGATAGTTCACGTGCTTAACGGTAAGTTCATAACATTTTTCGGTAACTTTTTTTTGTTTGATAAATTTATGCGGTTATTTTTGCGCACTCAAATAAAATTTGATTGTATTTGTTTATTAAGCAGAATATATTATTAATTATTATCTAATATCAAGGGGGTGATTATTGAGGACCATTTTAAGAAGAAACTTCAGTGGATTTTCCAAACTTTTGAGATACGGATTATAACATTTTCTTACAATGAAAATAGATTGTTGGAATCCTTATTGATTCACTAGAAGATAAATCTCATAATATATGATATGAAATCGCCTTTTGTTTCCCGCTTGTTAGCAATAATCGTCGTGTACCAACTTTTAACTAACATTGACATTGATGTTTTTTAAAAAGAGTTGTTGAAACTATTTGTTTGGACTTTTATTACCTTTATTTTAAATTATATCTCAACCCGTCGGGTGTCATGTTTCAAGACAATAATGATAAAATTCTTAAAACTGCGAGCTTAAATATAGTTATGTGTGCACCCGTGTCAATGCTGAGAGGTGCACATTGGGGAAACCTGTAGACTTTGGAAATTCGTATTAAAGAGCACCGGAATAATGTACAGCGAAGCCAAACAACAAAGTTTTTAATTGTACCGCAATCATGGGAGAAACAACACTGAATCCTTCCATCAGATGCAATTACAGAGCAATACTGGTACAAGAGGAAATTGAATTCACGAAGCAGTTTTTGTTAAGAAAAAAAAAAGAGGTGTTCAGCAAACCATCAGTTGACGTAAACAGGCTATGGATACCACTAGCTACAGGTAACAAGGACCACCACCAAAAATATCACACATACATCAACCATCAGCAACCACACCCGATGTAGGCAGGACTAAATTAAGACTATATTAAGTACGGTGTTTTAAGAATTTAGGTATTTTCTAGATAACGGTCGGGAGATACGTTGAGATATAATTTGAAATATAGACAATGGAACAAATAACAATAAATAGGAATGAAATTTTTGTTTTGCCAAAATGTTTAGCGACAAATTTAAGCGCTAGATACAAAAATGGAGACGGAATCAAACCGTTTGTAAAATACCTAATTACCCACCGATTTAACTTGCGGGAAGCGTCACTTTACCACGTCAGTTTCCTTTCCCATGAATCCGGGCCACTTCGGACATTTCCGGGATTTTACCGCACGGATTTGGGAGCAATCGGATGTTTTCGGAGATATTTCCCACGCTTTGAATTTTGACGTTTGTCAATTCTGACGGTCATGTCAGTGAATGTATTCGTGTTGTTTTGCGAAAATGTACCCAAAAACTAACTGTCATAGAAAAAGTATAGTATGCAACACGTTCGGTAAACTTTTTAACTCACTCGTTTATTACTCACTCGTTTATTACAAATCTCGTGAGTCAAATGCCGTTTACGGCACTTGCTGCATAATATACTATTTTTTTACTTGTGACTAACCTTTAGTTGAAACTAAATGAGTGTGATGTTTTGTACATAGTATTTACTCCTTCCTCTTGGAACTGTTTACTTTGTAGGCTATCATTAATATATTCGCTTTTGTTAGGGTGTTTGTAAATGGTGTTTTTGTTTATTTGATTTACTTTTACTTTTTAGAAAGAGTAAAATCATTAAAAAATTCCATTTTCTTGAGAAGATAATCAATCAATCCTAGCTGAAAATCACTTTTTCTAACGTGGAAATGCTCATTCTCATATAGTTTGGACATATAATTTCCTGCATGTTCTTCTGAAATCTATGAAAAACTGTGTATGTTTTATAGGTGTACGGATATACGACGTAATACTCCGCAGCTGGCTATAAAAGCTATGAATTTAACACACTCGCCGTTCGGCTGCCAGAAGCCAGTAAAGAATCGAAATTATGTGAAAAGTTTATCACTGTCCGTCAATTTTAAATTAATAGTCGTGTTTCGTCATATTCCAACAAAAGGAATGCTACGTATGATTAAATAACACCGAAGAAAAATGGCTATAAGCCTGTTCTAATAGAATTTTCTTTTCTGCCCTGAACCTTTTATGAACGGATTCCAAAAACTAGGAAATAGAAACAGGACCGATAAATCACTGACTACTGTCATTAAGTTCTGTGTATGTCAGTAGGTCGTAACTCATTTAGGACAAAGTTGACACATTCTTTAAACGACGCGACGTCGCTATCGAAAGAGCGCTACAAGCAAGCGGAAGCAATTGCGTGCGATAACATAAATGTTTATTATTCAGGGTGATTCATTAATAATTTGAGACTGTTGAATCCTAAGCTAAAAATTTTAGAATTTAACCCAAATCACTTAGAAAAAATGTTAAAAACAGGAACGTATAATAAAAAAAGATTTTGATTTTGGTTTTGGTTTTGGTTAAATGTTAATATTATGCAGCCCATTATTCTACAATAGAAATATTCGCAATTAGTAATGAATCAATTAGTATATACAGGCTTTTTACTTTTATATGTGTACAGGTAGGTAACCCTCAGCATTAGATAAAGTAATAAATTATTTAATATTTTTAATTAGAATATTTATATTTCCAAAAAAAAACTAAAAAATTACTTAGTTGGCAACATTCAGCTTGAGTGTGCTTTAAATGAAATACAAATGCACTTTCAAATTTTTGGAACGATCTGTTTGGTAGTCTCAAGATATTGACCGGTCAAACTTACCTACCGGACTTTTTCGCATTTTGTGAGACAACAATAAAAAACGTTATTATCCGAAAGATGGCGTTCGAAGGTTTCGGGACTTAAAAGTATTTTTTAAAAATCACACACCTTTTGATCTAATCTCCTGTATTTTTTTAAGAGAGCGAATAATATTGTCCTCCTGGTAAGACTTCTTATCTACTCGCGGATATTTTAACAGACTCGTGGGATCACATTTTTTGCTTTTAAGGCTTCGTTCGAAGTAATAAAGATATGATATAATGTTATCGCCGACAGCAGTGTATGGCAAGCAAAATGCGATTTAACAAGTGATAGAATTGGTATGTCTGAAGAAATTTGTTTTCGAATATCATTTTGGTTAATAGAATTCACTATTCACTATTAAAATTTTTGAAATATCTTGAAACATTAAACGCTTTTAAGCGGCCTGTTCTTTTTCAAATTGGCAATATGGACGAAGGTTTCAGTTTAATAGATATTGGCGGGATAAAATATCCCCTAGAGCGTAGAAACCTTAATCATTAATAGGGCGATTCGAAATTACAGTATATCTTACTAATAATGTTGGTTCAATTAATTTTTGTTTTAATCTTTTAAAACATTAACTCGAGGCTTTAATATGATACTTGTTTTATTTGAGATTTTCGCATTCGGAGTATAAATTCTTCTAATCTTTTTTGAAATTATAATTTCTCGTCTACTTAAACTGCTGTCTTTTTCTAATATGTATATACTTGTTTATTATGTTTGTTAATTGTTTAATAATTTTTCTGCTTCGCTTATTTCATTTTGTTTTATAATTCTATTAAAATCACCCTTTTTAATTACTAATTAATTATGAAACTTATGGTTTTAAAATTTTCCTTGGTATACAAATAACGATAAACTGCAATAAATATTTGTAGTTACACTGAACTACAAACACTTTCACACATTCATACCATAATATAGGAACAATTCAACTCATCCATCCTTAGAGGAGATCGAAGACCTTGCATGCGAGGATATAATAAATTAAAAGTTACTTTTGTGTTGCATTTATTGTAAAGTTTAGGACTATTTGCACATGTTTGATTTAAACCAAAAAACGTTTGTTTATTTTTGCCTTAATCTCTGAGAAATAGGCCATAATACAAAGAACACCCGGTACACACAATTACAATGTGTAGAGATGTCATGGAAAATAGCCACCTAGAAATTAAATCCTGATTGTCAATATGCGCGGAAATCACTGCCAAGGATACTAGAGCCCACTAAGGAAAGTGGATTTCGTACCCTAGAAAAACCAAAAACCAATACTGCGATGTTGATGACGGAAGTAAAACTTGAAATATATCAAATAAATTTTAAGATCTATGATCACCCAAGCATCAAATAAAATTTTATTTAATTTATTTTGTTCGGATTACATTCGTTTTTATTTATTTCATGGTGACCTAGCAAGCTCGATTTTATGTTTGAATTATACATATATTATTTTTCTCTTTCTCTAGGTTACTTAATTGTTTTTACTGTTAGTTTGTTATGTTTATTAATATACTATTCCTTTTCCGAATATATAGGATCAAATCTTTAATTGTATTCTTGTCAGTTCTAGAAATATAGGTTGTATAGATATGTAAAATCGTGGGAATAGCCTCTCTATATCCAATCAAATGAACTAGATAATATAATATAGATCAAGTCAGCCCCAATTATTTTATATTACAAAATAAAAAAAAACAGTAAAAGTATTACATGAAATTGAAATATTGTTTTCATAAAATAAGAGTATTTTTGCCTGTTGCTTCAGACTTCTTTACAGACCTTGACAACTCCGATACCACATTTTTAAAAAGGCAAAAATAAAGACAACAATTCGAAACATAATAATAATTGCAAAAATTATATTGGTTGCTAAACTCGTTATGTATTGCTTTAAGGTGTACTTTTAAATATTAATTGTTATACATAAGTTAAATGACAATTGATTGGCTAGTTTACAATATATTAGGTTACCATATACGAGGGCTGCCTTTTATATTTCGGGATTTTCTTAAACTAGTCCGCCCATCTGGCGACTAACATATTTATAGGAAGTTTGACGTTTTCGGGTTAGGTTTACTCGGTTAGGTTTTGGCAAAAGAGTGTTGTTTGTGCTTTTTTGTGATAGATTAAAAAAATTGTGACGGTTAAAAATGGAACTTAATCGCGAGCATTTTCTTGCAATATTTTTTTACAACTTTAGACGTGGACTAACTCAACAACAATGTGTCGATGAACTTAATTCGACTTTTGAAATTGAAGCACAATCGAGGACTACTATTTATAGCTGGTTTTCAGACTTCCG